CGGATTGCAAACAACTTTAAGGTGCATACTGCCACCTCCGGAGTCGGCTTGACTCGGTTTGCATTTATAAAGAATGCACACATGTGTTTAATCTTTAATGTCAGATATGTACTAAGTAAATACATTTGTTCCTGCTCAAGATTAGATTCAACTTTATTGTTATTGCACATATTACAGGTACTGAGACAACGAAATGCAGTTTAGCTTCTAACCAGGTGCAACAAGCAGTGAAGTGAAAAGCAATGTACACAATCTACAGAATAAAATATAGAATGAATTGAATGATGAATAAACAGTGAGGGGTATGAATACACTAGATATCAGCCTGTGAGCAGTATGAACAGTGTGTATGAATATGCTAAGATATATAAAGTATGAAAACGGTAAGCAGTGCAAGTATAGTATAAAATATATGGATATTAATTTCATTATGATAAACATTGTGGAACAATGATGAAAAATGGGAATGGATGTGGCGACGTAAAACTGACACAAAACAACAACAAACTTTTGCCGAGCCAATTGGAGAGTTTCATCAGCAGCACGTGGTAAAACCACCAATGAGCGCTCAGCTCGAGATACCAGCGAGTCGTTTCCCATCAAGCATTTCGCTTCCGCAGCCCGTGGAGAGGAACTGCGCCGGTGTCAGTACCAGATATGTTCGGCCTACCAAATATGTTCGGGTGTATTTCCGTCGCATCCGTCATCCGTCATATCCGTCATATACTCACCTCCCTCTGCTCCCAGCGCTATGCTGCCACACACCGGCCGTCTGCGGAACTGCAGCCGGAGGAACTCGGTACAGCTTGTTATGTGTGAACGATCTAGATCCCTCCGCTTCCCCATAATTACCGCGACCATTTTAACTTTCATGACAGAAATGGAGAGCTTTTATGCTGAGATAAAGCAGTACGTGCTCAATGGTGGTTACCACAATCTCACCATCGCCGCTGAAAAGCATGATAAAAGGAAGGCGTTAATTCGGAGGGCATCCAACAATACCTGATCAAAGGTAAGTAACAGAATAAGACCATGGTTAAGTCACGAACATACGTTTTTATTATGAGGTATAAACCCCCTGTACATGTGACATCATCACATCCCTTTACTTATAGGGATCAATAAAGTATATATCTATCTATCTATTTATCTAATGGTGTTTTTTGGTGCAAAAGTGATCATACCTCTAATGGTTTATCATATTGCAATTCCAACATTTTTCAGTAAATCGCAAGGACTCCACAGCTTGTTTCTCCTTTTTCTTTTTATACACACTTTACATTACTGTAGTTGTTACGTCTAAACCACATTTGCCACTGGATTTCTTGAACAGCTTTTAGTCATAATGTCATCTCTACACATGTCTAAATGATTGTTTTGTTGTTCCTGTTGTGCCAGCTGGAGATTTGTACTACACATACAAGGACAATGAGAGGATGGTTGTGTGCACCAAGGACCAAATTATCAATGTCCTGAAGGAGTGCCATGATAACCTGGGTTCCGGAGGTCATGCAGGGAGAAGGCGCACCACCGAGAAGGTTTTGGCAACGTACCACTGGTCCACTATGCGGGAGGACGTGAAGAAATGGGTGGGAGTTTTTGACTGACTGACTGATTATTGATCTACAGAAATGTGTTGTATGTGTACATTGAAACAGAGTGAGACATGTGTGGATCTCATTGGCCCACTTCCCTCCACTGCTAAGGGCAAAAGGTACTATCATGATGGGCTGAAGCATGTGTAACCTCCTTTAAAGGGGACCTATCATGCAAAATGCACCTTTGGACGTCTTTTATACATGAATATATGTCCCCGGTGTTCCAGGGAACTCACCAAGTGTCAGAAAACACAACCCTCTCTATTTTCCTCCTTCGCCAAATCTCTAAAAAAGTGGCTGAAACGGATCTGAAAAAAACGGATCCAGATTTCAACACTTTCCTACGTCACAAAGAGACGTGCTCCGCTTATTGGTCAACTCTCCACCTATCAGGGGAATGAGCCACGGCCACGTGCATTGCCGGGATCAATACCAACCATCCGGGAGGTGTTTATGAACTTCTCTCAAGTCCAACACGGATATGCCTCCAAGCTAATGCTAAACCCGGGATCAATACCAACCATCCGGGAGCAGGCCAGTGAGGACACATCCAATTATGAAGCTGTAAGTTTTTATTTAGCGGTGTTTTTCCTGATAAAGCTATCTCTAGCTTGTAGTATGTAGCATGTAGCATGTAGCTTCGCCGTATCAATGTCGCCTCAAACCCAAATAGTAATCGGTTAGGTGTTTATATGTTTTTATAACATTTTATATTGTACGCTCCGCAGTCTTTGCTTTGTCTTTTATTTTAATTATCAGGCATTTGCTAACATGTTCAGTCATACTGCCGTAATGGCGATCTGTGTGAAGGCTGTAAAGCCACGCCCTAGCCGATAACACAAGTATTTATTCTCCTATTTATTAGTATTTTGTATCCTCTAAAATCATATTGAGTAAGTTATAATAACAAACGTAATCTTCTGTAGGTAAGTGCCGTTTTTTGCAGCGTTATATGTAAAAGCTTTTGTGATTGTAGTCTGTAAGAACGATCAGATATCATCGATCTGTAAGCTAAGCTACGCTAATGAGACATGCCGTTTTTTGCAGCGTTATATGTAAAAGCTTTTGTATGTTTAATTGTTTGCGCACATGAATATAAATGGGGGTGTGTGAGGATACAACACTGTGTGTATGTATGCGAGGGGGGGACACACACCACGAGTAAAACGGAGCTAAAGCCCCGTTGGTCTGTTGTTGTTGACAAGGCCTTACCTAGCAACAGGCTAATTAGTGGCTATCATCTGTATTGAGTCGGAAACACAGCATCCACGTTACGGTTCAAAACTAACTCAGATTGGAAAAGGCTAAGCAAAGAGCTTTGCTAAATAGAGAGTTTTAAGCCCCATCTTTTGGGATTTCAGACTATATTTATCCAAATAGTATTTTCTCATCCTGAATACTAAATTGAGATGATTTTGTTCTAACTATGTTTTCTTCTTTACAGGCCAGCACCTCACATACTTACTAATTAGTGACAATTTGTACATCCTTTGCTATTATTTACATTTTTTTGTATCATGGCGGAAATGAAAGACTGTACCTGGCAGCCCTGCACTACAATGAAAACGCTGAGCGTGCACAAGCCAACATCCACTGGAAACCCTCTGTATAAACTGCAGTTCCCAAAGGCCAGGAAGGGAGAATGCAGAGCAAAACCAGTAAAGACTGACCCCACATTCCGTAAGTGTTTAAAATATTTATTATACAACTATTTACAAATATAAAATTAGAAAGAACTTTCAGTTTTTTACATGCATATACTAATCTAAACCACATTTTTTGTTGTGCTTTTTTTTTAACATTGCACAGGCTACGTGGCCAACTTGATGGACCTCATCTTCGACCAAGTCTTTGTGGACCCTGCACCATTATGAGCGACCTGACAGGGAGGAGGTCATCGCCGGGTATGCTACACGGTTCAATTTGGCTGCTGTCTGAACCCAACATCGACATTTTGCGGATCAGGAAACTCCTGCCTCCTTGAGGACAACGCAGGCCGGAATCACCACTCTGATCCTGCGTCCAAGGAAGCCCCAGCACCAGCTCACAAAGCTTCTGTAGGCTAGATACCTGTGACGCCTGAAATCATTAAAAAATATATTTAGTGTAATTTATACAAAATACAAGTACATTTAATTTTTTTTTATGGGTTCAAAGAACCGTTGATTTTGACAATAAAGTTCCGAGTTGATATCAAATGTGTCGTGATTATTCATGTTTGGATGGGTAAAGAATATTCTGATTTCAAAAGCATAAGGTTGTGTGTGGACTTTTTTTGTCGTACACATGGGTGTGTTATGCCATTGCTGTGTAATAATATATATATATATATATATATATATAATAGTACATGTACAATGAAAGATTGCATAAAGCCATATACACCAGTATTTATTTCCATGAACAATATTAGCATTCGTTTTACAATTTCAGTCAAAACAAACAAACCACTCACTGCTCTATTTGCCTCAACTGTAGTCCACCATGTTCAGCTCTGTAAATATTCAATGCATTCTGCAGGGAGAACACATTCAGGCACACAGGCTCCAATCCAGGATGGTCCACCATACAGGTTACAGAGTCCTCAAGTTCCTGCATCCGTCTTGACACCTAGTGTGATAAACATATTGAATGACATGTTAAAAATGCATTCTCTAAACAGACAACTTAGTGAAGCTATCAAAAATGTTACCTGTGGTATCTCTATGCAGCACACATTCTCCGGTTCAGAAGGCATCGTGGCGCAATTTGCACATGTACACCTGTAGAAAGAAGTCAATAACTGAGCTTTTAAAAACACATGAAACTACACACACTGCTGACAACTGAGGTGTTGTTGGAGTTATACTTTTTATCACCCTAAGTTATTGAACTTTCCAACGGTTGTTGCACGATGTTGGAAGAAAAGGGCTGTAAACTATTAATAAACGCAATGAGGCCATTGTATATATGCTGAAAATATGAATGTCTCCCTTTATAAATATATATATGTATCGCTGTTTTTGCGTTACAAGCTCTAAGTTATAAACTGTACACATAGCATTCTTGCTAATTAGCCAAAATATGAACGGTATAAGTAGCAATCATCGTAACAGAGTAAAATAAATAGGAACAACAGCTTGTCAACTTACCATTCAGAAACGTCCTGCTGCAACCGAGATCTTTGCACCTCCACCAAAACCTCCGCTGCTTCAGGGTCAGTCTCTGGATCAAATTGATAATACGCTTGAACACATGCATTGCTCTGAGATGACATGTTTATTCCACACTCGTAATCACAGCAAGCATGTTAACGTGACTCTCACCGGCTCATGCCCCGCTCTTCTGCAGGGGGGCGTGGTCAGCTGCTGCTCAGAATTTTCAAAGACAGGCTTGGAAAAGAGCGAAAATGAGCGAAACGAGGCATGGCTAAAAAATGATCTGTTTGGTATTTTGAAAAATAAAATGTATAAATATACCTTATATAGGTATGGTCATACACTATATCATTTAAATATAGCATGATAGGTCTCCTTTAAAGGTTCTAAACGTGAAGAATCTGGTTTAAAAAGAAAGGAAATCATTTACAGTGATTCTGTATGTATTTACAACATTCTGCATTTTATATTGCAGATACATTCTAACAGCGACTGATCTGTTCACGAAGTGGGTGGTAGCAAAAACGCTCTACCACAAAACAGCTGTTGAGGTCTCAAAAAAGATTGTAAATATTCTTCTCGATTTCGGTCTTGTCGAGAAGATCATTACCGACCAAGGACGGGAATTTGTCAATGAGGTACAATAATCTATCTAATACAGTGTATGTGTTATGTGTAACAATGTAATACGATTTTTCAGGTAATTTGGTAATTGGTGTACACTAAACCATCTGCAGGTCAACCGTGGTGTTTTTGATGCACTGGGTGTAAAACACTGCATCACTTCAGCGTACCATCCCCAGTGCAATGGCCAAGATGAGCGTACAAACCAAAACATAAAAAAAGCACTTGCAAAGTACTGTGGAGAGGACCAGAATGACTGGGATTTACATCTGAGGGGCATTGTGGCGAGCATTAACACCTCAAAGCAGGTACAATGTTGTAACAAATGCAGATGGAAACAATACTCAACAGAGATACTAAAAGGAATTTTTATGCTTTCAGAGGTCAACCAAGTGCACGCCCTATTTTGCCCAGTTTGGGAGGCACCCTCGCGTCCCGGGTGTTATAAATGCTACAGTCAATGACAGGGATGATACCTCTGTTTTGGTGCCTGCTGATGAGGCAGAACAGCAGCTTGAGGCAAAGGCTGCAACCATTGCAGATTTGCACTCGAAGGTGAGAATAAAATGGCAATATTTAAAACATAATAACTCCTAAAAAATGCAAGCGTATGTTAAGGACTGTAAATGATAACTGTTACATATCTTTCTCAGATTTACCAGAACATCCAAATAGCACAACAGAGACAGAAAATCTCTTTTGAAAAACGCAAGGGAAAGAATGTGAAATCTTTCCTGATTAACGTTGGAGATGAGGTCCTAAGAGCGAATAAGAGGAAGGAGGGCCGAAAAGGTGGAAAACTGGAGTGCAACTGGTTTGGCCCTTATGTGGTTTCCTCAATCACCAACAAGGGTGTGGCAACCCTGTTGAGCTCAACAGGAGCTCAGCTGAGACAGAGTGTGAATGTGTCTCAGCTGAAGCCCTTTATCAGGCCTATGTTGAGAGGTATTTTGATTATCAATACAAGGACACATTTTAGGTATACTTCATGTGTGGTACTTCAATAATACTGTTTATTTTGTGTCTATCTAATAACAGCTGAACCGAAGTTGGATTCGGAGGGGTCTGTTGCTGACCACCAGTATGCCCTCTCTGGTGCGAAATACGCAAAGGATCTACATCCGATTCAAGACAAGCTGGTAGATATATGTTTACTTCATGCACAGTGATGGAGGTGCATTGTTTTGATTTTAATTTTTCTATGTTTTCTATTGGCTTGAAGTATGTTTTGCAATCTGTTATTTGCAGCTCAGCTATGTGCTAGACCACAATAGGCCTGGAGCAGAGGTCATTGTGAAGGAGGGTGATGTGTGCCTGACCAGAGAGGACTTTTGGAGCCTGGGTCTTCCTCAGTGCATGGAGTCAAATGTAGGTATACTTGAGCTTTCCTCCCAACTTCATCTTGTCTCAAATAAATGGCACAGGTAACTTACTGTTGTTACTGTTTCAGATTGGAAACACGTGCCTGAAGATGGTACAAGAAGCCACCCAAAGACATGTACGGTTTTCAACAGACATCATTGGCCTGCTTTTTTCTTTTGAATAACACATATTTTCTAAATAGCTGTTTAGTGGTGAAACTCCAATCTCGTGAAGTGTGGTTGTCTCTTGTTGTTGAACATACTTCTATGAAGATTTCATTTTTTTTGAAAAACTATCAATATAGGGCAAAGATATATACATCGTGGATATGTATGTGGTTCCTACCTGGAAGTCCAAAACAGCTGACGTGTTTGCTTTGCGTGAGTCTGTTCCAAATGATCTCACCAGCATGTACAAAATGAACATAAGTTGTGCTGTGTGGTTTTCTTCTGGTGTTTGATTATGTCTAATTTCAGCTATTTTGTCAATGGTTGACAGGTGATCAAGCCAGCAAAGAGAGAGTTATATTTGCTCGACCCTCTTAAGCCAGATGGCTTTGGGGACAATTCCTACAAGGACATATTTAGGTTTTTGTAACATGATTACCCCCACCGTTCTGTGGCTTGTATGGGAGTTCTAAATAGTTTATAGTATTCTAATACTGCAGTAACCATCTTGTAGACCAGGGGTCTGAATCTGATCAAATTCATTTATAATATATCTCCATTTCCACAAAGTCTGGAGTGTCCTTAGTGGAACCAAAAGAAAAAGAGTCTGCAACAGGATGCTATGAATTATAATATTCATTTTGTTATAAGCCTTGTTCAAAGGTTGTTTTCAAGTTCAGCTTTGTTCAGCGGCTGGTAAACGTATTTTTGTTTGTTTTATTTTAGCCCCGTTCAGTGGCTTTCATAACTTTCCTCTTTTAAGGCATGCAATAGTTCAATGTAAGGAAATCCAAAAACATGAATTATATTGAGTATAGCGTTCCTTCACCAAATCAATTCCCATGTCTTATCATTTCTTTTGACAGTGACCTAGCGCACCGCATTGCTCCAGGTCAGTGGACAGTAAAGTTCGGCAGAGACGTCAAGGTACATTTCTCCACCATCTCATACACCTGCTTTCACATGTCTTTATTTTCCATTTGACCATGAACATCACTGTTATATTCCAAATTCTTACAGGGTTAGCCTCACCAAACCACGGGCAATGACTGTGGTGTCTTCATACTGATGGTAAATTCCTCCCTTGACACTTTTTTTTAAGGGGTTTTGTTAGTTTTTGAAACTCATAACTTAACAGATCTTTATCCTTTCACAGTATGCACTCAACTTCAGCACAGATGCTCTACTTTGGTTTACCGAGGTCAGTATTTATCCTCTGAGTTAGTATTTCAGGGGGAAGAGGGGGCTAACATTGAGTAGACAAATGATGAGGTTCCATTCATTTTCAACTTTATTATTGTTACATTTTCTTTTAGCGGGACATAGCACAGATCCGGAAATGGTGGTGCATTATGCTCATGGAACGGTACCAGATTGAAGGGTAAATCATACATTTTAAATGTTACTTTATAGACAACAGTTTCTTTGACACTGATTTACATTTTCATCCTGATATTATGTGATTTTTATAGCCACGGACAGATCCAGATTATTTAACACATGCATACATATTGATAATTGTATACACATGTAATTAAACAATCACATGACCCACACCTTATATTTTCCTTCAAAGGTCCAGTTTCAAAAGTCCGACATGTGCTTCATATTGGAGGTAATATCTTTTCAGTGAAGCAGTAACTGTTTTTTGTTTAAAAAACGACCTGTGATCACGGCAGAATTTCCAACTATTATGTCTCACTGCTTTTTTTAACTTTATTGATAGCTGTTTTTTACCTCAAGGAGAAGAATAACAAAACATAAGAAAAATGTGTGTGATATATTCAACATTAATATTAAAAATGTGTCTTTTTGCTACCTGAAGCCCAAAGAATCTTGGTATTTCGATTGTGCTGGCAACAGTCTAGTCAATGTGTTGTTAAATATGTTTGATCTAGTCTGACCAATACTTCACAGCTGCCAAACTGTCTTCTCTCGGACCTTCTGATGGAAGTGGTTCTCCAGGAAGGTGACAAAGCGTACTCATCACTCACTCTAGTGTGTACCACCTTCAGAGACACAATGTCCACTGTGTCTTTCAGAAGAGGGGCCCACTTTCGCTGGCTTGAGAGTAAGTGATTCAGTGAAGGTGCAGCAGTATACGACAGCTGTGGTGTCTATGCATATTTTTAATGGCTCTATTGAAATGCTTGTTTTACACAGGTGTTGCTACATGGAGTTTGTTCTCTGCTTCATACAAGCAGGATTTCAACGTCATGTACACCATTGACACCTGCCGTGGATGCTTGGAGCCTTACAAAAACTGCAAACCAGGTAGACTTCTTATTCTGGATAATAATGTTTATGTGTCATTACATATTTAGTGTGTTGTGGTCCTAGTGTGATTCAATTACAATATTTTCTTTTTCTATTCATAGGATATGTTGGGAAAGGTAAAAGAGGAGAATTGCAGGGCATCTACTCTGATGACCAACATCCAGGCTATTGCAGTCCCTTCTGCAACCAGATATCATAGGTAAAGATTAACTCACACAAACAAATGTCAGAATAGACTAAATTGTCACTGCAATTAATGAAGATCATCATTTGATATCTTACCTTCAAGTTTGGTTTTCCCGGACGCTGCCCGTCGTGGACTTCGGGTCGTGGACTTCGGGTCGTGGCTGAACCTGTCTCTGCAGTCCTGCCTTGGGTCATGCTGCTTCCCTGATGGCTTCCTCATATATTCTGAACAATCTGTGCTGTTTTCCTATCCACATGTAAAAGGAACTAGAAGGATTTCTTGATACTAAGGGCTGTAGAGAAAAGTTTGGAGCTTTTTCCATTAACGTTGAAGTTCAAATTCTCAATAAACACTTGAATGCTGTGCTGTCTTTCTATTTACTTGAATGTGTGAATTCATTCAGTTGGGTAGGTAAGCTTGGGATGGATATATGAAATATATACATACAAAAAATTAGAGACTCTTTCCAATGAAAGTAGCTAGCCGCAATAGCTCCAAGATTGCTATATCTAGTTTGTAGGTCGCCAAGTTGGCATCATTGACAGTTCGTCTCTTAAAGCCTCTAAAGCTCTGCAACAAAAAAGGATCATTATGAATGTAAATACTATACATGGTAATGCAGCAGGGCATAGTGCGATGAGGCAGGCAGGCAGAACCAGATTTATTTCTAAATATTTGTCGATCAATATTAGGCTACACTAATATAAGGCTACTAGTATTATGATATTACTGCAATAATATTCCAGTGGTGGCTGCTTAAGGTTGTTTCTGGCTCGTTTGATCCAAACATTGTCCAAAGCTCAAAATGTATTGTAATAGATGTAAGAATTCTCAAAATGTACAATATGTTTTGATCCAACACAATATTCTGATTCAATCCATATATGTTAGGGGTTTTTTTTTTCACCAAAATAAATAGACTGCCTTCTCTCCAGCTCACCGCACACAAAGGGGGGGGGGGGGGGGGGGGGGGGGGCATCTGTATTAACGGGTCAGTCTATAAGCACTCTAATAGCACCATAAATTACATTTAAATAACCACAAAAAGACAATTATTGTTTCCGATATTGATTTAACGAGATGCTGTTATAACATGGAAACGGCTTAATTTAAAAAAAATAAGCTTCAAAAATGTTTTATGAAGCACACTGGGTACAGCCCTGTAATACATGTGTTCCGTGTGTATATAGTCTTACGCAAGAAACACATAGCATGAACAGACTGCAACAAAACCAGTCTTACAAACAGACTTCTGCTAAACTGGTGCAGAAGCAAAGCATCTACCTTAGATGAAGTTCACACAGAACTGTGGAAAAGGGAGAACATCTGTACTTGCTTTCAACGACATGATCAGGCTTATATATTATAAAAGTGTTGGCTAAAGTAACGCAGAATATATATATTTTTTAATTGTAAATAATTAAGTACACACACATAACAAGCTGTACCGAGTTCCTCCGGCTGCAGTTCCGCAGACGGCCGGTGTGTGGCAGCATAGCGCTGGGAGCAGAGGGAGGTGAGTATATGACGGATATGACGGATGACGGATGCGACGGAAATACACCCGAACATATTTGGTAGGCCGAACATATCTGGTACTGACACCGCCTCGCTGCGGGCGTCTTTGTCCCGCGAGATTTCAACGTCTCATGTAGGCGGGCCTCCAGAGCAAGTCGGACAAAATGACTAACCATCATGCAACGCACTAGCAACACGTTGATCGCAACTGCGCAGGTCTCGCTTGTCTCAAACAAGCCTAGGGCCTGTGTATATTCCGTCACCTACTGCACCGGACGGAGTGTAAAATATCATGACATACAACGTTAGGATTTCTAAATGTAAAAAACACACCAAAAGCATCTAAATATTGACTTTAAAAATAGGTTAGATTCTGGATATTAAACCTCCATTCCCTCCACTACAAAGCACACTGACAGTGTGTCCCAACCATTACGCATTAGCGCCCTCTCCTGGGCTGGGGTGCGCAGCTACACCACCTACAAAACCCCAAAGATTGATTTATGCTTCACATTGTATGTTGATTTCCCCCCAACAGCAAGACATGGCAAGTTTATTCATTAAGCACATTTCATATCAAATCACATATCAACAAGGGAATTCAAATTGCTCTACAAAAAACTTGTAACATCAGTCACTAGAAGCCCAAGATAATTCTAATTGAAAAAAGGCTTGAATAGAAAAAGACAGTTATAAAATACCAGAATAAAAAACAGTGCTGTGTAAGATATACATTTTAATTTTAATTTTATAGGAAGGTAAAAAAGTTTTCAGTCTGGTTTTCAAAAATATATGGAACATAAAAATTAAACACTGCTACTCCTTGTTTAACTCTGACTGCAGACCTGAACCAGAAGACCTGAGAGCTCTGGTTGGTGTCCGGTGCCTTGCTCAAGGGCACCACGGCAGGGCAGGAGGTGACCTGGGACCTCTCCAAGAAGCAGTCCACACTCCATATTTAGGTCTGGTCGGGGACTTGAACCGGCGACCCTACGGCTCCCAGTCCAAGCCACTGCCGGAGTAGGAGAGTAATGATAAAAATGTTGCCAGATAATATTTGAACAGAGAAATATATTTTATCTTCCAGATCAACTTGTCTTTCCTTTCAACATCACAGTTGCTCACAGTACAGTTAGGCTAGGTTGAATTGTTTCTCATTCACACTCAATGATTAACATCTATCATTATCTCATTTGTGATATAGTTATATAAGTCTTGGGTATTCTCTCGTTATAGTCCTACCACCGTGCTATCAGTGTGCCAAACAGGTGCATAGTTGTAGGGGTTGTTAAAATAAGAACATGCAGACAAAACATCAGGTGATCATTAAGATAGAACAAACATGTCAACAAGGCAAATGAGTAGATCCTGGACATATTGATTCTATAAACAGGTGGAATTTGTATTTATTTGTAATGTATTTTAAAAGCAGCTCTGTTGAATTTGAAACTTTAAGATGCTTTGTTTTAGGGTATCAATTGAATTATTGCCAGCACCCAATGATACGTTTCCCCAAGAACACAATGAAACCAATCTGTGGTCATTTTGCTGGTGTTGACTGGACTAAGTTGTATTTAAAGGTGTTTCTGACATTTTGTTTAGTTGTTCCTCAACAGCGGTATTGCTTTATTCACTGTATCTTTAAAAAATGGACTAGGCTTCGTATGTATTTTTGTTATTTACTTTTCGATGATAAGGAGAACAGTGGGCTGGAAACGAAGGGAATAAAACATCTTTGTGCATGTCTCATGAATACATATATTAGGCTATATATTTCTTTATATGTTATATTTTGTATCCTTTCTTTACAATTGATATTGAGATAATATAACACTACACACTCCGATACAGTAGTTGGCGGTAGTGATGGCAAAATGAAGCTTTGAATGAAGCGTCGAACCACTTGGACAATTGTGTCGGAAATAGGTTCATTTCTCGAAGCTTCAGTTACAGCGACCTCTCCTGGCGAAGTGCAAGGCTGCAGTGGGTTTAACGTATCTTTGCCTTGAAAAATATTCGATGCACACACTCACACTAAGACTGAATATCATGTTCTATTTGCAATTAAAGATTGATAATTGTGTGTATTGGGTTATTGAGAAGAGACTAGAGAGTGCTAGACATGTTTTTGGGCGGAGAGGGCCTTTTATCAGTTATTAAAGTTGAAAAGCAATGATTAAAATACGTCCATTCCGGGATTTGAACCAGCTGCGCGGAGGATATCGCCGCATTCGGGCCGCCGGCTCTATCCACTGGACTATCTATTCCTTGAAATATTTAACTGTTTTCATATTACTGATAATTGTCTTTTTGTTCACAACTTCTCCACATTTCGAAGTGTTTCCCGAGCCAGAACGACCTATCTTACTTCCTGGCTTGCTCTATAATGATATCAAATGCAATAACAACAACAACAACTCAACAGCAACAACGCAAACTACGACAACAACCCACACATTGCGCATTGTTTAGAGCGGTCATAAAGTGTTGAAGCACTCAAGTTTGAAACTGTTTCAACCTGTCACCTGTCAGAATCGAGACGAGGCAGTGCATTGAATCGCGTGAATGGACCGTGAACCAGTCAAGTGATTCATTCAGGAAATGAAGCAGTTGCTGCTTCGGACGTCACATGTCACGTGATTTGAAGCAAGCTTCGAAGCACTGCTTCTATGGAATAGGAAGTCCAGGGTTGAAGCTCCGTTCGAAGCTTCAGTGTCAAACTGCCATCACTAGTTGGCGGTATGCAGCCTTCAGTTGGTTTGATATCCGTTAACAAAACCACAGAAGAAGAAGTTGTTTCTTCCTGTTTATCATCCACATTACATCACGGTTGCGTGCTACATCAGTGGTCACAGAGGTCTGCCGAGAGGTGTATGTGCTGCGAGATGTTGGTAGCAGCAGGTTTTAGTGGGAAGTTATTAGTAAGGTGCGTGAGAACATTACCTCCATATGTGGTGTCTCCTTCGTCTCTCTGTGGTGTCGCTTATTACAGAGGAAAAAAGACCCTGGCTAACAGCGGCACTTTGATCCCGAGCCGAGCTGCCAGTCACGCGACAGGTGAGGCAAGGCAAGTTTATTTATATAGGCAGCACCTTTCAACACAAGGCAGGTGAGAGCTACCTGGGGGCTCCTGTTCGATACCTGGAGGCGGGAGGATAACACTTTAATGTTTAATACAGAGAGAAGAAGTCAGAAGCGACCCTAGAACAAGTATACAAACTGGCCCCTAATAATAAATCCAGCTGTAGTATTTTATCTGAGTCCATTTCAACTTGGTTTTGTATTTTCATAAACCGGTTTCTCTTCCTCATAGCTTCAGTGGTTTCATTTTCTCCCTTCATTATTTGTATGACTTCAAATGAAGCTATCCCTGCTCTTATACTAGAAAATAACCCAATAAATGACATACTAATCTTCCTCCAATAAAATGTGAAGATTTATTTTTGACCTAAGGTTATGCAGTTGCACATCATTTTGAAACATTGTTATTACATATACATTACATCTAATTTAGCTGACACTATTATCCAAAGCGACTTAGAATAAGTGCGATAAACCATAAAGATACAAACACAGAACAACAATTAAAGTACTGTTTTATTTGCTTAAAAAAAGCCAAACCATTACATTAGTATACATTAGTTTCACTATTGCTCCATTTATTTATTTTTTCTTCAATTTAATGGCCAGATACATGCGAAACAGGTGGGCTTCAGTTTGCAGCTAAAGATATGTAGACTTTCTGCTGACCAAGATGGTAATGAATAAACCCAAAAAGCATGAAGACACAACCTGCTAAACAGGTCTATTAGTTGGGATGTTCTCATCTTTTATTTTTCTGCTTTCTGGGTTTGGTGGCACCCAAACTGGCTTGTCTGCTGCGCCTTAGCCTTTTAATGTTCGGGAAAACCCTCAAAGCATATAACCTCAGGCATTGTTACATTTCCAATCCAATGCCCTGGAATACAGACCCAGACAAACTTCACAGGTATCTTATTTGTTATACTAACGCCCTCTTATACCAACACCCTACCTGTTGCATGTGTCTGTCCCTCTGACGTCACTGAGAGAGGCCAGCGCTGGGGCTTGTGGGTAGTAAAGTCTTGTCTCACTATGTTGTCTTTCTCCCAAGGGAAGCTGGTGCGTAATGGTGAGGATAAGAAGGCAGTGGTAAGCCCCCATTCATTTCTCACAGTAAAGGACACACTTGATCAACACTCCTCATTTTGGATGCAGTTTCTACTGTGCCTTCCAAGTATTACAATTTTTACGGGGGAGTAAATGCTAATCGTAATGCTAAAAAACGAGCTCGTACCTCTTGTATTCTACATTTTTCTCAATCATTCGTGTGGACCGGCCTGATCATCTGTCTCTCTGTCGCTGTTTTCAGATCTGCATTGAGGGGAACATTGCCAGTGGGAAGACGACCTGTCTGGAATATTTCAGCAAAACTAGCAATATAGAGGTACGACTAAACAAAGTAATACACCAATGCTGTGCATATTGCTGTTTTGTGTGCATGTGCTCCTCCCTCCAGGAAGTACCACTGTAGGTGTTGCACAAACAGAGTTTTACATGCATGCGAATGAGTCGCTTTTCGGCGCCTCACGCTGATTTGGGTGATTTGTGTAATTCGTGGAGAACCGAAGCGTCCGACTCACGGACTGACGGACAACTTCTCACTTCAAAAAATGTTTAAGAAATCTAGACTGCAAAATAATTAAACAAGCGAGTGCCTGTTTTTCCTGGCCAAGGACAAGTTCCTTGAACACAACACGAGCGTAACGTGTCTTCACGTGGTATATGTCTCGTCTGAAAGGGGTGTATTAGAGCAAGCCCCCAGGAAGTGAACTCTGTGGCCGTTTCTCTGACCCCATTTACACGGGAACGTTTGCGTTTACGCACCGTATGCGTTTTCAAAAAAGTCTTCCGTTCACATGCATTCGATTCATTTAACGTGTCCGTTCACACGAGACCGCTGGAAATGCTGGAAACGCTGTAGTACATAGTGTACCGGGCCTGTACCGGGCCTGTAAGTGGCGCTGCTGCCGCCACAAAATACACCAAAAGCAGCGAAGAAGACCCTGGAGCATGGTTGCCATGGTTGCCCTTCTGTTTATTCTCCGCGGTGGACAGCGTGTTCTCCTGCTGTAAATCTCTCTGGCAGTCCACCAGCAGATGAAAAACACCCACCTCTCCGCCTCTTCCAAGGGACGAGGGAACCGTGCGGCAGAGTTTCCGTTAAAAAAAAATGTCGCCGGTCAACATATCCGTTAAAGTTTAAATCTTCCGTACAAAATTAGAAAAGTACCGGTCAAAGGTCTTCTTTGTTATTTATTGAGCTTTAAAACAAATTGATAACGGCTCTATATAATAATAATAATAAATGGAGCCTCTCTTTCCCTCCCCCTCTTCTGACAGCCCAGCAGCTGACCTCTGAGCAGGAGACGTGGGGAGAGGGAGGCGGGGCTATTTCATCGTTATCAGAAAATGATCGTATAGAGGCGATTACACGGAGCCGTTTGACCCCGCAGAGCGTTCCGTTTGCAGATCTATCCACCTTGGGACCCGTTATCGTTTGCGGGGTCCGTTTCTATCGTTTTGTTACGGCCTCGTGTAAACGAAAGGGCTATACGCAAGAGAAACTATACGGATACAACCCGTTTCGTCCTCGTGTAAACAGGGTCTCAATGTCGAGTATGTCATCGAGTGGCGCCGAATGCTGGGCATTTAACCCATAGATTTAACCAAGCCCCCAGGAAGTGCGCCGGACTCAGATGAAAATATTCGTGGTGGCCAAACGGCGGTACTACACTTCCGTTTGGTTGCCAGGCCCGGAAACACTTTTTCCCCATTGACTTACATGGGGAAAGAATGGTCTGTAAATCGGTGGATGATTTTTCTTTAACTAAATAAACTACCCAGTATGAACTATTTTATAGCCCTTATTAGAATCATTCGGTCCTTAAAGTTGTAAAATGCACTAAAAGCCGAATCTAGATTTATTTTCTCTCTCCATTCATTCTACTGAGCCTAGAGTGGGAGCTCGGGGGCGGGGCTTAAGGGGCGCATGCTCTGTGACTGCACATACGGCTTCTTCTGCTCTGACCATCGATGTATAATAGAGTGCCACAGTGACGCGACCCGGAAGTAAGTTAGCATTTTACCACTTCCGGTTCCTTCGACAAAAACCAATGCAATTTCTCCATAGTGTAACACTCCTATGTGCTAGGTTGCTTTCAATGAGGAGCAGAAGATTATATAAATAGAAAAAACAATATCAAATTAATATAGCCGGCATTTTATTAAACATTCATACAACACTTTCACAAACCCCTCATCCACCCCAGTGAAACCCAATCTGCTATCATGGACAAAACAACAATAATCGAACCCGGGTAGTCTGTAGTTTCTCTCTCTCTGGTAATCCAATGACCATCAGTCCTTTTTCTGGTGAGTAGAATCCTTTAGAATGCTTTTTCTGGTGAGTAGAATCCTTTAGAATGCTTTTTCTGGTGAGTAGAATCCTTTAGAATGCTTTTTCTGGTGAGTAGAATCCTTTAGAATGCTTTTTCTGGTGAAGAAAAGACAAAAAACTGCAGCTCCAAAAACTTCCGTCAGTTCTGCTAGTTCCTGGTTCCCCGCAGCATCAAAAAAGCACATCATCAAACAATTTGAACACACACAGGGCCCACACTCAGCTGCCACTCATTGAGCCTCATTAACAACCACAGCTGGCCTGTTCTTCCTCTCCTCCCTCATATGCAGACTCTGCTGCCCCAAGTGGGAGCTGCTGTTTATTACAGGGTCTAAAACTCACTGCATTATTTGAGTGGGTTACATTAGGATTCTGGAAAATAGCTGGAAATCACGTTTTGTTCAGCCGGATAATCTCCACATGTCTACCATACTTTTATAATTTTCTGGAATACAGCGTGGGAGGCGGGGCCTCGTTCATTCCTATGAGAGTTGCTCATTGGCGCATGAAGACAAAATGGCCCAACTTTTGAGAGAGCGAAACGTCGCGAAAGTATTCATATAATCCGTTGTTATTGTGCATCCATGGGTAAAGGTAAAACTCATGTAGTACTGAACACGTCACATGAACGTGCCGGGCAGTGCGGTCCCATGGGTTAGATCCGCGTTCATAATGTTTTGGTGGTCATTCCACAACCGTGCGCGAGTCATGGTGAGATATCTGGATTCAGAAGTTGCTTTTTCTTTGCACAGAATGAAAGAAAGGCCAAATGAATGGGCTGTGATTTTAGTTTTTTTAAGCAGAGGTAGAGTTCAATAATTGTACGGCCCTTGGAGAATGTTGTAACAATGTAAATGGCCCTTGAGAGGAATAAGGGTCCCCACCCCTGCTGTAAATAATAATAAAAACCCTTGATTTTTAACTTAACGTCTCTGTCTCTATTGATCTGGGTATATTGTAAAGAATAGCCAGTTAATTGAAGCATTATAGCACAGGCCTTTGTCAGATGGTATAGCACGCTGTTTTGTTTCTGCTTCCAATAGTTCTCTCTTTTTTCACCATACGTGTGTTTGACACAAGTGACATAAGAAGGTTAAACTTTCGATTTAAAACTGAAGATTCTTTTGCATTTACACCGTTTGTGAACCCTTCATTTGCCTTTATACGCATATGAAATTAAGGCAGCTCAACATTTAAGGAAAGATGAGAAGGCAAATAAAAAAGATGCACTCAGTTTTACATTCAGAGGACAATGAAATGATTATACTAAGGCACACGACACTGCCAGCATCAGTACTGCTCATTCATGAAGTTTCCCTTTCTGTTCTGATCCAGGTCCTAACAGAACCAGTCTCTAAATGGAGGAATGTCCGTGGACACAACCCTCTGGTATTGTAACCGACATAGTTGCTATCATTTTGTAATTTTGTGCAGTTCAAACATTGAATATTTGACAGGATAGGCTCTAAGAGCATTACAATATGACTTGGATACATCAATCATCTGCACATATTGCAGTGTCAGTAAGCTGTTTGTATCCCACTTGATAAGCTGCATTCTTTTACAGTCTGACTACATGACACTAGATAGCAGTAGAGGAAGGAAAGAAAATGTATTCAACTACACTTTGTGTGAACTTACCCTTTAAATTCATAGCAATCTATGTAGTTGATTTACATTTTTTTCGTGTACTTTATGTAGAAGTTATTAGCCTAATGGTGGCTTAGAGAAATCACCTTAAATGATCAGGATCCATCCTCTGGGGACGCTGAATATCCAGCGTAATCCCCATGAAGATCCATTGTGCTTGTGCAGTGCTTGGATACATGGCTGTCAGCTGTTCCTCTCTGTCCCTGCAGGGCCTCATGTACCAGGATCCTGAGCGCTGGGGCCTCACAATGCAGACATATGTCCAGCTGTCCATGCTGGACCAACACCTGTCAACCATAGTAGGTCTACTGTTGGCTAAAACTATTATGGTTTACATACGCCTTGACTGGAGAGAATTTTTACTAGCGCTTCACAAGACATCCTGCACCAACACGTTGGCAGCAGGCCAGACTATGCAACACACTTCTCCCTTCAACAGACTCGGCCCCTACACACCAAACAGACACCAAAGAACACGTCCCGACGGAACACGACTGTTGTGTCTCCTGCGTCTTGGCCAACAGTCGCACTGGAACACACCGCAAAGACTTCAGCCGTCGGCCAAGTAGCACATACGAACTGCGCATGCGTGAGTGGCAATAACTCTCCTTACCAGCAGGCGGCGGTAGTGTGTATTCGTCATTCAAAAGAGGCAACAACCGGAAGACAGACTGCGTGATACAAACAACAAATAGCTACATGCTACAGCTCGAGCCAAGCAGCACAGGGATGAACTATGCCAATATGTGAACAGAACCGGTGCAGTGCCTTTTCAGTGGGGCAAGATACAGCAATATGTGTGCCTATCCTGCTATTTCTGTGTATTCTTTTAATCACACAGCGTTAAGAACAAATACAAATGTGCCTACATAACTGTCAGTTGCAGCCCTAGCATTATTATTGGTTTAACTACAAACAGTATATTTTTTAACAACTACAACATTCAAATACTTCTAGGCAGATTGTGGACAGTAACAAAGTACATTTACTTAAGTACTGTACTGCTCCACTCCCATTCAGACAAATAGTGTTCCACTAAGTTGTTCAGAGTGATTTATTTTGCCGACAGGCTCCGCGGCCGATTCACCATGTTGAATCGGCCGCGGATGGTGTCGGCACGGCCAAAAAGACACGACGGGGCGGGACACACCAATCTGAGCAGGGCGACAGGACGCTCATCGACGGCCAGACATCTATCGACGGCCGAAATCGGCTTGGTGTGCAGACGCCTTTAGTGCAGACGCTCCTCTTCTCTGTTTTTGAAGAAAGGATTCAGCAAGTCTCCTGTTTACACATGAGTCTCAAGCGTTGCTATGGTGAACAGCTGATCTCTTCGCCTACACTGAAGAGCTGCCACCTGCAGTGGAGACAAATAAAGCTGTACCGTGCAATGGAAACGCGGCTTTAGATTACACCATTTGAATAATTGCTATGTCGACCTGCTTTGTCAACAGAAGGATAGCTGAGGTGTTGACATTAAAATGTGATCAGCAGTATGTGCTTATTGTTTTTGTTCCAGTCAGCCCCTGTCAGGATGATGGAGCGCTCCATCTTCAGTGCCAAGTACATCTTTGTGGAGAATCTCTACAGGAGGTATGTGTGTTAGAACCTTCACGCCTGTCCAAAAGAGAACAATAGATCCTCACAGCATATCATTTGATCTCAAATAATGCTGCTTTGAAGGATTCTGTATGTCCACATTTCTCTGTAAGAATGAGAATGTGTGGGTGGGCAATATGAATTCAATTTCTGTCATGGTTTACAAATGTTATCACTATAGATGACATTTGATTCTGTATAAAGAAATAACCAGGCTGTTTTGGCTTAAACAACCAGCGACGTGAATGAGCAGTCCGGAATATATCAATAATCCTTCGCAGTACAACTAAACCTGTGATTTGATCATATTTCTTTTCAGTGGCAAAATGCCAGAGGTGGACTTCGCTGTCCTCAGCGAGTGGTTTGATTGGATCACAACTAACATTTCCATTCCTGTGGATCTGATTGGTGAGGATACAAAAACCCACATTTACTAAAGGTGTATTGAAATGAAAGATCTGCCAGACACAAAAAGAAACATGGAGAATACAGTCACATTATTATAGGAAGATTGATTGGAAACAAAAAATCTATTGTCATCAGTTACTAAAAATAACACAGATTGTAATCTGTATGGTGGTGTTTATTCTTAGCTGAGGAGCAGATTGTCCTGTTTGACCTTTACTGGTTGACAAAGCCCTCTGAGGTTAAACATCACATCTTTGACATTAAACAATGCATTCTGTTTGATATGTCACTGCTAGAGGTAATATCCTAATGTTGCTTTATTTGACTGTAGAGGAGGTGGGGGGTTTGCAGCGTTCCTCCCCTGATTACAAAGGATCATATCTAAACAGAGATAGAACTCATCTGATAAAGTACATCTTTATACTCTTTTTTTTTTTTAAAGCAACCATAACATCAATTCCTAATAATACACATTTCCAGAACACTATTTGGATGTATAGGTGTTCCCTCTGGATATGTTAAAGAAGGGAACATTGATATTCATTGAATATATTCCAGTCACATCAATTGCAATAATCTTTTAGCACTGCAAATCAAAGCAATGAAAAACCTGTCATTTCCCATGAAACCATACCATGAGTGGTTCCAGCATTCAGTCTTAAAGGCATGATAACCTCCCCCCCCTTGTCTCATTTGAATGTGTCTGACCCTCTCCTGTGGCTGCAGTGTACCTGCAGACGTCTCCTCAGACCTGCCATGAGAGGCTGAAGCAGAGGAGCAGGGAGGAGGAGAAAGTCATTCCACTGGTGAGGACGTTAACAATCACAAGATAAGCTTTAACAGTACTGACAAGCTGCCAACCAACTTAAAGGGAAGAGTGTGAAGACTCTCATTTTGTTAATGGCTCACCATTGCACTACCTGTCCACCAGGAGTATCTGGAGTCCATCCACCAGCTGTATGAGGATTGGCTCATCAAGAAAAGCTCCTCCCCTCTTCCTGCTCCTGTTCTGGTGAGGCCGAGCAGATCTGTGTGTATAGTGGCTTTCTGAGCTGTGATCTAATAGTTCCCTCCTTTGATGTGATGTTATAGAGGCGTGCAGTGATGACATGTTTTCTAAGGTGACAAGGTTACCAACGCAAGGGCTCCATTAAAAAAAAAAAAAACCTTCACCAGCGAGGCATTTACTGACGTATTTTATGTTGTAGAACCAACTTCAAAAATATCTTCAGCTTGTCTTAACCACAGACCTTATTTCATCATCAAACCAAAATAATTAAAAAAACCTCACGACTTCAAGACAAGGGAGTCTCAGCAAACATGACATGTGTGTTCTTGTCTCATGCAGTTCTAAACATGATGTTTGATGTGTGTGTGCAGGTGATTCCTGCTGACCAAGACCTCCAGGAGATGCTGCACCAGTACAAAGAAAACCGTGACAAGATCCTCACAGCTAGCTCTCTCTGATACCAAATTCACACTCTTCACTTTTTAGTAACTTGACAGCAGATTTCTCTTCAATGGGCAACTATATTGCCAACTTCTGTTTAGTCAATAGGTATAAACAGGGCTATTGCTTATATTTAGTAGCTATTCTAACGTCTCCTCACCAACAATGGTATTCTCACTTAAAGGGTGTAAATGCTTTAGAGAATCTTAAACTCTTCTAATAACTCAGTTTTTTAACAAAACACTTAAACAATTCTTAACAGAAGTTGAAAAGACTCAAACTTCAAACTGTGAGCTTGAACTGATTCATTTCTCATTTGCGTGAAGATTTCTGGTCATTTTTTATTTATTGGTTTGATGTGTAATTGAAATGCACTTGGATGTTGCTGTTACCCAGATATGACGTGTAATGTGTTGGATTGTTTACCTGAGTTCATCACAGACTAGACAAACACCATTCCAGCTCCACAGATATCACATGTGTAAATCCACTGTACAAATATTTCATTCAAGTAGGGACAGGTTCTCCAATGTTTTTCTGTAACTCCTTTTAACTAAGGAACCTTTGCTATTTTTTACGAATGTTACTATATGAATCAGTGTATTGTGTATCTGCTCTTCTGTTGTTCAGATGTTAATTGAAGCATTTATAAGGAATAAAATATCAGATGTTTATACATCGTGGGGTATTGTAGCACATGGTTTGTGATCGTTTAAATGTGTAGACTGACAGAAAATGGTGCAACTGAATCCACTGGGCACCATTGTTCATACTGTACACATACAGTAAAGCATGCCTTCCCACTGTCCTTTTGACTTTGAGTCCAGATTATTTAATCCCTGCAGTCACATTTGAGCTCTCGTTTAATCGAAACAAAAATAATCCATGCACTAAATAGTTTTTATTTCGTCCTTTTAAGAAGTGATTTGACTACAATCAATGAATACTTTTAAAAAACGTGTGTCCAGTGTCCACTTGTGCAGAGGTCACACAAACACAACATGCAAATAACAAAGGCACATGTCTGGCGACGCGAGGTCATACAGTTCAGTCTGGAGGAGCTCTCAGGTACAGCAGTATGCTTAATAAAGAACAATATTTGTAAACAAAAACATGACCTTGCTGTTGACATGTCAATCCCAGCAGGAATCATCTACCACTCTCAAACTGCCTCTAACACTGGACTGGAGAAGACAGTCATACACTTACAATCATAGTCACTAGAGAGACATAACACGTGTTTTCATCTATCAGTGACACAGCAAGTACATATCCCTGCAAACCTTTAATAGAAGTTACAGCCTTAAACAGACAACATAACTTAGCCTAATGTTCATGTCATCATTACCATCAGCTGAGGGGAGACATCAGTGTCAGCCTCCTGGTTGCAATTCTGAGATTTAGAAAATGTTCTACAGCTACTTTATCAACATGTGGAAAATAATAACAGGTGTGAACACCACTCGCGGTTCAAGGCTTTTATTAGTCATACGTACACAGTGTATGTCCATGGAAATCTTAGGTCATAGGCTCCTCCAACAGTGCAACACAATAACACAGAAAATAAATTGTGCGCAATAACAGTCTATATGCAAGTGATTGAATATGATATATTAGATAAATAATTAGTAAATTGCAGCCAGATGAATGTTATGGATGTTCTTTACAGAGTTCAGGTGTTTAATAGTCTTCTGGCCTGTGGGATGAAACTGTCCCTGAGTCTGGTGGCTTTAGTCCGGATGCTGCGGCACCGCCTGCCAGGCGGCAGCAGACAGAACAGTTTGTGGCTGGGGTGATGGGGGTCTTTGATAATCCTGACAGAAACAATTAATTAAATGCAATATTATTGTACATAATAAACAGGATTTATTTATCTTTTTATTTATTTATATGTGGTTTCACTGAATATGTATCTGGAGAGACTCAACACGTGTGTCCTGCTTGTTACATGCAGAGCAGCTGCAGACACTCCTGAGTCACAGCAGAACTGACTGAGTATGCATACATGGGGTTTTTGCATTTGTTATTCAATCTCATTCTTTGAAAGTGACAATAGGCAAACACATCTAACTGATCACTCTGAGGAAAATAGTTTTGTACAATGTAATGTCTATAGGATGTTGACACCATCTTTGCAGCCTCTCTTCCACTCTGCTATCCTGTCCCCACAGGAGATGAGGCTGCATTTAAGTACGAAAAAGAATGCTTACGTTTTCAGACACTGTAGGTCTGTAGTCTGAACAAAGATGGCACACTCTTAATGGCTCCTGCATTGTAAACAGCAGCACATTCCATTGTTACCTTTCACAATAAAAGCCCTAAACATTTACACTACATCATCACTGCTTACCAGAGTGCATTTTGCCAGGAGACAACAAACAAAAGGCAAAGAAGAAGGGTGGTAAAACACATTCTTTCTACTGAGCCAGATCATTTCAAGTTGAAAAGGCTCTCAGTTTCCATTTGAAATATGTACAGGTCAATCTTGGTGGATATTGGAATGGCTGAGTATTGATTTCCATGTAAATCAACCTTAAGAGCATTTGATTTCTTGTGAAGTGAGAGCAGGGGTGTCAGACATACGGCCAGCGGGATGACTTTGCAAAGTTTGAAAATAAGATTAGCAATTTTCTCAACTTTTAGGTATTTTGTATTTATACATTTACAAGGCGGGGGTAAAACGTGTCCCCAGTTTGTATGGTGGTGTGTCAGTTCAGAGTTCACTAGATACTGTCTGTGATGTGTAAGTTGTAATGCACATGTGTCAATTATAAACTGAGGCATTCAATTGTTGAAATTGTACTTATTTATCTTAAGAAATGTCAGGTTGTTCATAATGTTTTGAAAAAAGATAGTGGATTAAAAAACATTTTCGGAATGTACTTTTGTGCACAGATAGGGAAGGAGTTGTGGTTTTAGGTTATTATGATAGGACTTTGCTGGTCCACTTGAGGTCAGATGTGTCTGTTCTTGTGGCCCCTGAACTGCTAGAGCACTTCCTGCGCAGGTTGAGAAGAGCACAGCTCACCCCTCCCATCCTCACCACGTTCTACAGAGGAACCATAGAGAGCGTGCTGACCAGCCCATCTCCATCTGGTCGAGAGACTGCAACGCCAAAGACTGGAAGTCTCTGCAGAGAGTGGTCAGGACAGCAGAGAAGATCATCGGAGTGTCTCTCCCTCCCATCAGAGACACCGCTCAGAAACGCTGCCTGACAAAAGCCCAGAACATGTTTAAAGACCATGCTCTGTTCTCCGTGCTGCCCTCCGGCAAGATGTTCCGCAGCATTAAGAGCAGAACAGCCAGATTCTGCAATAGCTTTTTCCCCCAAGCCATCAGACTGCTGAACAGCAAGTAGACCAGTAACATAAAGATTACATTACGCTGTGTAAAGAGCACATATTTGTTATATAGTAGGCTATGTCTATTTTATTTATATGTAAGTCTTTATATTTTAAACGCACACTTTATCTTTAATTTTATCAGCACCACGTCACTATTATTTATTTATATGTACAATTTTAGCAAGTTTTTATATTGTCCTGTTCCTGTAAGCCAGTACAACGACATTTCGTTTTAATAGTACACTCTGGTTGAAATGACAATAAAGTATGTCTATGTCTTATCGATCCGGTCCTTTAACATTACTCTTATCGGTTCTTTTGGAGAAAAAAAATAAGGTAAACTAACTAAACAAATTGTGAACAAAACTAACATTGCTTTTTATTTAAATTAAATACATAATATTTCACATCAAAAGAAACAACAATGTTTTAACAAATCGTATTAAATAATGTGATGACAGAACTGTAAACAGAATAGCTGAAACTTTAACTAAATAAATAACTGAGTTTCCTCTAATCATTAACCCATGTTTGTATCATGTAGTTAACTCCGTGTGTTGCTGCTAGCATACATAACACCTGACGTGGAAACGTTACTCGTGGATGGGGCTACAGAGCTGCTAGAAAGACGGTCGAACCCGGTGCATTCCTCCGTCTGCATGCGGTGCACTTTTGCTAAATGTTTAAACAAATTGCTCGTGTTACCGCCCTTACATGCTAAACGCTTATTCCACTTTTGGTAACGAGTATTGTCCACATCGACACGGCTATAGTTTAACCACACCTCGGAGCGCGTTCTCTCCGCCGTCTCCTCCGTGTGTGTGTGTTGCTGCATGTAGCAGCTGCGTGTGTGTAAACTGCCCCGCCCCCTCGCTCATTCACTCACGGCAAAAGTTACTTTACTTACTATAAAAACTCACGGTAAAAAAATGCACTCCCTATTCCATTGTCATGAAGGTGGAATCTAACTATATCCAGAATAAGTTTTATTGGATCCAGGCTAGAAAAATGTTTATTTCTGCTGTAAAGTTGGGCATTTTAACATGGGGGTCTATGGGAATTGCTCCTTTTTGCATCCATCCCCTGTCGGCCACTAGATGAACTGCAGTTTGTGGCACTTCCTTCTGGGCTTCCCGGCTCTGCGCTATGAAGCGCTGATTGGCTGTGGGTGGGCCAGACGTGCACGTGGGTGGGCCCAGGCCCACCCGGGCCCATCCACAGCTACGCCACTGCATTGAACATGTGCTCTTTTATTAAATAAACTAAACGCTTTCATTTTAAGTTGTGAGTTTAGTGTTTTTGACCCTAAGAAACACTGATGCATTAATCAATAACAATAATCCACAGCTCCTCTCTCTGCTCCAGAGGATTTAAAAAAAAAAATATCCCAATGCCACAAAAATGCATCAGTGACGTGGTTGAAATCTTGTCTCCAGAAAACCAAAAAATGAAACAAGCGATATCAGTGACTGTGTGTTTGATGTGGCTCTTTGCAGTAACATAGAACAAATGTGGCTCTTAACCTCTGACTGGTTGGCCACCCCTGTGCTAGAGGATAACAAAGCTCTGAGCCAGCTCCTCCTCCCCCCCCCGGCCCGTCTCTCCTGCACAGACCTGGCAGTCTGCTGTCCTGCTGCTCAGCGGGGGGTGCTCCCTCTTCTCCACAGGACGGAGCTGAGAGGAGGCAGGGGGGCAGGGGGCTGGACCCGGCTCCATCAGAGGGGTCCTGAGGGTCTGCTCCTCGCCCCCCCCCTCTGCGCTGGCCTTCCTCTCTTTTTTGGTGTTGTCCTCTTCTCTTTTGTGATGTCTTCCCTTCCCTTCCTCACTGGTCTCCTGCACACTGAGCTGGCCCATCCTCTCTCTGAGCCCTTTGAGCAACTGACTCTCTTCCAGGGAGCTCAGAGAGGACAGCTTCGGGGGGGCGGCGGTCTTATTCTGAAGGTCTGTGGAAATCAGAGTTTCACGTTTATACTGCGGGTGCATTTTCAGTACAGTGAGAAACAGAACCTTCGATTCTTGAGGAAAATGAAACTTGAAAAAGAGAGTCAGTAACGTAATATTGAAAATGAGGCTCAGGCTTTGTGATAATAAACTGATGTTTTGTATTCTGTGGGAACACCCTCTCATTATCTCTTCTCAGGCCCCGATTGACGCAGGTGTGAAAGCATGCAGTGCACTTCGTTTCATATTTAGAAAATTGAGAATCAATCTGTGTGGGCTTCTCTCCGTGCACCTATTAGTTTGGCTCATATATGTGCTGTGGTGGACAATATTCAAGTACATTTAAAGTACTGTACTTAGGTATACTTTTGATTTACTTGTACCTTACCTGATTACTTTCACTTAATGCGACTCATTTTCAGGTTCATGTGTGTGGGAGAGAAACTCCCTATGAAGGGAACACCATATATATCACACACTACTCCTGTAGCGTGAGGGAGACCCCATAAAGCAGAATAGAGCCTCTTCTAGCTATCCAGCAGCAAGTCATTGCATTTAGCCCCAGCTGTGATGAACTAGACTTGATAGACAAATCATTCAGGAATACCATGAATATCATTCTGAAATGAGCCATTAAGCATCAAGACTACTTTAACTTTAGATTCTTAAGTGCAAGCTTTTGTACTTTTACTCAAGGAAGATTTATATGCAGGTACTTTACTTGTAACAGTACACAATTAAGTCCTGCTACTTTTACTGCAGAATAAAACCTGAGTACTACTTCCACCTCTGTGTAAATTGAGCAGCACGACTTGTGAAAGTACTGGTGTAGGTGCAGATGAATCAGCTGGTATGGTGAATATTGAATCGTTTTGAATGCTTTAAATGGAGTGTTACCTGCTGCAGAGTGCTCTGCTGTGGGCTGAGGGTCTCCGGGCTTCAGGCTCTGCTCCCCTTTAGGACCACTGAGCTCATCTTCCCCTCTGCCTCCATCAGTGGTACTGCTGCTGAGGGGGTCTCCTGGGGGGGCGCTCCCTCCACTGATCCTGTCAGAACAGCCACTGCCTCTGCTTTCCTCACCCATCACTCCCTCAGCTGTGAGGCCATCCTCCGTCCTGTGAACAGAGGGAGCAGCAGCTGTGGTGCCTCCATCAGCTCCAGCCTCATCACAGTGAGTGTCGGTGCTGCCCGGAGGACCCTCTCTCCCTCTGCTGTCCTCTCTGGGGGCCCTGTGCGGCACCAGGCGGCGGCCCTTGATGGACAGGTCAGGGTAAGACTTGTGCATCTCCAGGATGGACTGATCCACACTGGTGAGGTGGCTGCGGTGGGGCTTGGGCTGTGGCTTGAACTCTAGCCGGCTGTCTAAACTCTGAGGAACCTGGAGAAATAGCCCAGATGTGTGTTAGCAGGTTCTGCAGGCCTCAGGCTGTTTGGTGAAGTATTCTGTCATACACTGTAGTAGACCTTCTCATTTAGCATTAATACAAGTAGTGGGTGAAGATTTTTTACTTCAATAAAAGTAGCAAAATACTACATTTGAAAAGTACTTTGTTACAAGATGAAGTTCTGCATTCAAAATCTTACTTAAGTAAAAGTACAAAGTTTTGGGATAAAAATAAACATCAAGTACCAAAAGTAAAAGTACTCGTTATGAGTAATGGCCTATTTCCGAATCGTATAATGAGTTACTGGGTTATCATTATTCATGTGTTTTTACCCCACAACTGGAGCTCATTTGAATAACTTTATATACTGCTGCTGGATATCTTAACCAATGTGTAAATGCAGGTTTATTTAATCATTTATTCATATTTTGTATTATAGTAGCTAATAATCTAAACCTAAAAAGTAACTAGTAACAAAAGCTGTGTAAAATGTAGTGGAGTAGAAATATAAAGTAGCAATAACTGAGAATAAAGTACAAGTACCTCATTGCACTTAAGTACCGTACTTGGGTAAATGTACTTTGTTACTATCCGCCACTGAGTACCAATGGAGATCCTACCGAAACATGGTGAGTCTTGATTTGACAGTGACACATTAAGACGAGTGAGTGCATTTGAAAATAGCTTGAGTATTCAGACATATTTCCCCTCCCATATGCTACATATTGAGAATACCCTGGAGTTGGCACAGAAGGTAGTGGATGACAGAACCACGTGAAACATCTTCACATGCTGTGCTTTAACACACTGTTCTTGACAAAAGCCCTTAAGATGTTACTGATAGCACTCACACACATCATTCTATCAATGTGATTCATTCTGTTAAAGTTGTGTAGTGTTTCTCATTGTATGCTGCTACGATGAGTAACATGTCGATCCATTACTGTTCTGATAGCAGGAAGGTTTCTGATCTGTTCATCACAGCAGGAAACCGCACTGTTTGCATTCATTTCACAGATATCCTGTTCTAATTGTCATCACAGCCAACCAGCCATCTGTCTTACAGTACCTCTCTCCTATCGGCCTCCTCTTCCTTCTTTATCTCCTCCTCCTCTTCTTCCCTTTGACCTTTAGTTGTGTTCTCTTCTGTGTTCTCTTCCAGGGTCTTCGGCCCTGCTTTCCTCTGGAGAACATCCAGCCACTCCTGCAGAGGAATCAGACCGGTCACATGAAAGCAGTTGAACTAGACTGAATCACTTTGACCATGGCTGCCATTCAATCACATCTCATTGTTGGGTGGGGGACAGGGGGTCACTGAGTATCCCCATCAGTATGGCATGTTTATATTCCATAGTAATGAGCTGCATGCACTGTTTGATTGATCATTGTTCAGGGCAAAATGGTATTCAATATTACGAGCCATATGTCTGATAGAGGTGTTTCTTTTTTGCAGTTGCAATCCTATTCCAAAAGTACACTTCTGTCATGGCTTTCTGATTCCTATCATTGCAGCCTGAAACTATATCTTCCTTTGAGTTCTTTATGGGATTCTGCTTTTGTTTCCTCGTAAAGTTACTTTCTATTTTGATCTCATTTAAAACTTGGAGTTCTTCCTTATGCGCTACAAGGGTGTTGTATGCTGTAAAGAATATCTAACCCTGTGAGGCTAGTGTATAACTATGATAATGTACTTTAGAAATCATGTGATCATCATGTGATTTGATTTGGATTTTCAAAGCTTTGTGAAGGATTTGGTTTCAGTTTTTTTATTTGTTTAATTTTTGTACAGACTCAGACTCTTTTGAAAGGATTTTCATTCAAATATAAATCCCCATATGGACTTTATTAGGTAGACATTTTAATTGACTATACAATTGGATGCTGTTTGATTATATTATCCTTTGGTGATTTATGGTTTACCTGTGGTCCCAGCCTCTCCAGGAGCTCCAGCAGGTTGGAACACTCCACCCTGGCCAGCAGCAGCTGGAAGCCCAGCAGCTGGGCCCTCTGAGGGTCCGCCTCCTCACTCAGTCTGTATTCACTGAAACATCCAACTGTTAGACAGCTCAGGAGAGCAAGACCAAAGTGATGAGGAGAGCAAACCAAATGCTGAAGCTGGGCTTGAATCTAACTGCGGCTTTCTCCATTTGCTTCAAGATTCACTCCACTCCCATTCAACCCCAAACCCCCAACGTACTCCACCTCACTATTGACAAAACCCAACACAGCTGACAGTTAGGTTTACAGTTTGGAGACTTTGTGTAAATATTGGGAGATACGACATGTGTCCACTTGTAAATAAGATTTATTTGCCATTTTCTTGACATGCTTTACTTAGGACATTTTGAAATAAGGGCAATATACCTCCGCCAGCTTTGTTGCCTTTTTTGGCAATTGTTTTGCTCCGTCAGCTGTTCACTTAACTCACATCATTTAAGTTCAGGCAGCGTCTATCAATTTCAGATCAAATCACACCCACCCACTTTCATATGACAAAGTCCTTGTTGAGGCAGCATTGAAATCTGCATTGATGCTAATTAGCTAGCGAGCGCACCCTCAAATCTCCCCCTCACTACACACTTTCTGGCAGCAGCTGAAGAAACTAAAATCAGCTATTCTGTTGCGCTCTGATGACATCATTTCACGTCTACAGGAAGGAGAGAGAGGCTTGTGATTGTAATGGCAAACTGTTAAAGGTAAATGAGCCAAATAAAGTCATAATTATTTAAAGCATCATAAATCAGTGTATCCAATCACAGGGAAGGGAGGTGTTCAGACAATACTAGCCAAGCACAGCACAGTCAGACGTGGTAAAGTCTTAGATGGGCTGGATAAACAATTGACAAGTTCAGGCAAATGTCACTGTTTACACAAATGTGTGTGTGTGTGTGTGTGTGTGTGTGTGTGTGTGTGTGTGTGTGTGTGTGTGTGTGTGTCCTACCTCAGAGCAGTGTCAGTGTGGGGCAGGTAGCCGATGGAGGCCAGGACAGACTGGATGGTGGAGCTGCTGAGCACTGGCAGGAGATGGTAGACGAACGGACCTGTATAAGTCTGAAAGAGACACACAAACACATTATACATACATCTATAACTAAATGAAAATGCATTTATTAAGATCTTTAAGTGTTGGTAATTACATCATTTTTACCAATTTATATCACATGTACGTGTGTATACTGCGTCTCAAGGGCGCCGGAAGCGGGGGGGGCCAGGGGGCCATTGGCCCCCCCACTTTTCAGCCCTGCCCCACATTTTCACAGCGGCGGATGCCGTGTACAAATCCTGTTTCAATAATTCCCCTCTACTCTAAAGTCACATCTAAAACGCGATCTGATCTAGCTGTGTATATTTTGTTATTTTTTATTGTTATATTCAATCTCAGTAGCTACAGGCATTTTTGAAGCTTGTAAAGGGAAGAACACAGCTCGCCTCTCACGTGCCACTCTGCTCTTCCACAGCGCCGCTCCCCCTCCCTCCGCTGACATTATGAATGTAAGGCATAGTAATCATAGATAACACCGCAGGGTCCGTTACAGTTTGTTTTCATCTGATTTCAATTAAACAAAGTCTTGGCTTTCAGAATATTAAACTTGTTTCGGCAAATTCAGATGATAAATACAGCTTTGAAGCTTTTAACGGCATAATTACAAGCAGAGAACGGAGTAACTTTACGTCACTGCAGGCATAACAACAGCCGGTGTTTCTCGTGAGTGTTTTCCCGGGAAACAAACACAATACACACAAACGCAAAAATATACAAACACACGTAGGCGTGGAACACTGTACAAATCCCGTTTCAATAATTCCCCTCTACTCTAAAGTCGCATCTAAAAAGAACGCCATCTGATCTGTCCTTCACTGCAAACATCGCTGCTACAACCCGTTGCTGCAGATACACGCTTTACAACATCAGGAAGATACGTCCCCAGCTGACTCAGAAAGCGACTCAGGTTCTGGTCCAGGCTCTCGTCATCTCACGCCTAGACTACTGCAACTCCCTCCTGGCTGGTCTACCTGCATGTGCCATCCGACCTCTGCAGCTCATCCAGAATGCAGCGGCTCGTCTGGTCTTCAACCTTCCTAAATTCTCCCACACCACTCCGCTCCTCCGCTCCCTTCACTGGCTTCCGGTAACTGCTAGAATCCACTTCAAGACACTGGTACTTGCTTACCATGCTGCGAATGGATCTGGCCCTTCGTACATCCAGGACATGGTTAAACCGTACACCCCAGCGCGTGCACTACGCTCTGTATCAGCCAAACGACTCGCTGCACCCTCGCTGCGAGGGGGACCCAAGTTCCCATCGGCGAAAACACGTGGGTTTGCTGTCCTGGCTCCAAGATGGTGGAATGAGCTCCCCATTGACATCAGGACGGCAGATAGCTTGCACATCTTCCGGCGCAAACTGAAAACTCATCTCTTTCGACTCCACTTCGAGCGTTAGAACTATTAACGAAGCACTTTTATACTAATAAAGGACTGGCTTACCTAAAGCCAGTTGAGTAGCACTTGAAATGTTTGGCTCTATGAAACCTGATGTACTTATATGATTCTGTTTTCTTCAAGGTTGTGTCTTCCTGGTCGAATGTACTTATTGTAAGTCGCTTTGGATAAAAGCGTCAGCTAAATGCAATGTAATGTAATGTAATCTAGCTGTGTAGGCTATATTTAGTTATTTTGTATTGTTATATTCAATCTCATTAGCTACAGGCATTTTTGAAGCTTGTAAAGGGAAGATGACAGCTCTTACTCGCCACTCTGCTCTTCCTCAGTGCCGCTCCCCCTCCCTCCCACTGAAATTATGAATGTAAGGCGTATAGTAATCATAGATAACATGGCAGGGTCCGTTACAGTTTGTTTTTAATCTGATTTCAAATAAACAAAGTCTTGGCTTTCAGAATATTAAACTTGTTTCGGCAAATTCAGATGATAAATACAGCTTTGAAGCTTCGGCATAATTACAAGTGGAGAACGGAGTAACTTAACGTCACAGCAGGCATAACAACAGCCGGTGTACACAAAATACACAAACACAGACACACTCGCGAGTTTCCCCCAGACCAGTAATCGAAACGAAAATATCTTCCCTCCGTAGTATTTTGATCATTTGCTCCGCTAATAGTCAATCAGATCGATCCAGAGAAGAGGACACTTTGAAGGCCTTTTTCTCAAAATGATGACTCTAGTCATTATATAGGCTAATGTGACATATTTTGCTTAATGTTTGGAGTACAAAAACAATCCTGATATCATTAGAAAGCTCGGAATCTCCTCTTTCCAACAGTGTATACAAATCAAAATGTGTCTTCGGATCAATGCCACTGATTTCGATGGAGCAGGTCACTTTGCATTAGGTAAAAATAAAGCAGGCAGACATAACAGGAAGAAAAAAGAATAAAGAATAAATAAAGATAAAGAATGCATCTAACGTTCCGCTGTTCATTATAATAAAAAAACAGAGCATTAAACAAACCATCATGCTCTTACTTTGAAATCATGCGGAAATGTCGTCATCAGCAGGCCATCACGTGGTTTCCGAAAATCACCGAGTGACACGAGTAGATTTTAGCCGAGACCGGCGGAAAATATGTCTCAAAATTCCGTGTGTGTAAAAAGACGATCCACAAGCAGAAATGTGAGATCCACGAGCAGAGATTTGAGATCCGCAAGCACATTTTTGGTCGACAAATACAAAATGGATTCACAAATGCCTGATCGAAAGTTGTCAATGTTAAAGAGATATTCACAGATCTTTTTTTTATTTGTGAAAATATTTAGCGTATTTGCAGATCCGTTTTACACTTGCACATTTATTTGTGAGTTTGCAAATCTTTTAAATGCATTTGTGGATGGTGTTTTACATTTACACATCACATATTTACACACAAATTATTTTTATGTTCACACAAATAATTACGAGACATATCTATGCCCATAGTATTCCCAAGTGAAAGAAGTTTGTTTAATCTTAATCTCGATGTAGGCTAGTGCTAAATGCTGTCGGAGTGCACCGGAACGAACGCCACTATCATAATATGTTCTGAAAACAAATGTCCACACATACACACACACAAACATACACACACACACGCCCTGGGGACCGGACATCTTCTTCATAAAACTAATAATATGGCGTAATAATCGGGCAGTTCGATGTGTCTAACCATAAGAACCGTGCGAACGAGAAAGTATATCGTGCCACGAATTACATCTCGTGCGCACAAATTAATAAAACGTGGCCTCGTTTTATTTATTTTCTCTCTATGAACCCTCGAGGGCTCCATACAAATGTGTTCATCTAGATCTAGTCAGTGCTTGAATTGGTATAAAAAAGGTGCAGTACTCTAAATCAGCAACTGTTTCAAGTCAATTTAATTATACAGTCCAAAAACAAGTATTTGGCTCAAAGTCATATCCTATAATGCTGGTGGGTTTGTCTCTTTACTGTATATTTTAGAAAGGCTCATTGTACTTAAACAAAATGACTCAGGGTGCATCTGAGATTAGAGGGGGTGCAGTGGTAAAGTGTTATTTTTATAAATGGGGAGTGGACCTGACACCCTCTAGGCCGGGGGGTCCGGGGGCGTGCTCCCATCTAAATATTGAAGTTAGATGCATCAATCTGGTGCACTTTGAGAGCAAAATGAAGAGATATATGGATACCTCTCAACATCCATATGAAACAACTGTAAACAGATTTACTTTTTCTTTATGGATATAAAAGAAAGTAAAGCCTGACTCCTACTGGCGGCTGGTTAAATCACTCCTCGTCCCTGAGTATACACACCATCTTTCAGCAGGAAAGGAGAGAGGGCAGGGGCGGACTGGGACTAAAATTCAGCCCTGGAAACTGACCCAGTCCGGCAACATGAAATGTCAAATGTTAGAAATCCGCTGTTTATTATTTAAAGTTTTACGTCCGATTCACTCCTTTTTTCCTCTCTGTACACAGCTCCAGTTTGGGCATTGGCCTGTCATCAGATTTCATTTTTAGTTGCTGCTGTAGCGGAAGTTTAGTACAATTATTTTTGATTAAATACTCCAAATCTCCATCCTCCATAATTGCTTGCTACTTTTTAAGGGCGGTGATGACAGTTACAGTACGAACTGAAGTTAATGCGATTTGATTGGATTGTGAGGCATGACGTGAGCCTCATCTGATTGGTCAATCCCTCGATTTTTGTTTCACCAAGGGAAGCCAATTTCGACTAGCCTCATCTCGCAACAGAGAGTGCAATCTATGTTTCACCATAACATCTAGAGGGGCGCTGTTTCACTCTTTGTAAAATACTCAGAGAATGGGGGAGAGACGGGCCGGCAGAATAATTACCGAAACTAAACGAAGTGTTTTTCTTTATTTATTAAAATTATAACCCTAACCATAAAAACAGGGGAAGACTGGCTTCCCTTGGCCTCCAGGAGAAAACACCACTGAGTTCAAGGGATAATTCTCACCCACCTCTTGCTCTTGCCCTGCACTTGTATGTGCCAGTTGAGCTGGTTCTTCCAGCAGCTCAACTCTGTCCCTCATCATGAACGCAGGAGGCTGGCTGTATATCTGAACTCGCACCCTCATCATTCTCTTCATCATCTTGCACTTGTTCTAAGCTGCTGCTGATAGTGCTCGTAGCAGCGCTGCTGCCAAAAAGGTCTGTCAATTTGCGACATTTATATGCTTCACCTGCGAGTGACTTCATCTTTTTTTCTCTTGCCTTCTCGGCCCCACCTTTTTCTTTTAGTTTTCTCTGATTTGTATCCATGTTTTTTCATTCTCCCTGTCTGCCGCGGCAAGGCGTCTAATCCATGGATGTATAATAAGAACTGGATACAGCGTGGGAGGCGGGGCCTCATTAATTCCTATGAGAGCTGCTCATTAGCGCATGATGATAAAATGGCCCAACTTTTGAGAGTGAAACGTCACAGATTACCCAGCATGCCTGAGAAGTACCCGTATGTGCACTCATAGAGCATGCGCAACTTTAACCAAAATGCTCGTTCACATCAATCACGTCAATTTGCGTACACGTAACAGCACCGTGCGTTCATGACA